CCTTACCATTGTGCATGGGGAGGAGAACACATGGCCAAAGAGATGCAAGAAAGCAACAAATTAGCAAGTGGCATGAAAAACAGATTGGTCACCCTTGAACTGTTGACTGTTGAACCAGTAGTCAATCCAGAAATCAATGCAAATATTCCCAGTGTGAGTACAAAAGCTAGATTACTGAAGCTTAATGGAAGTTTGATGAAAAACTGCACCAATGGCAAGAGTTCTGGGACTCATTCAAAAGTGCCATTCACAAAAATGAGACTCTGGAAGACGTGGATAAATTCTCTTACTTATAAGCACTGCTTATAGGACCAGCCAGATTGGCGGTCATTGGTTTCCCATTAACATCTGCAAACTATGGAGAAGCTACTGACCTGCTAAAGAAGAGACATAGCAAGAAAATGGCAACCCAGTGAGCTCATCTCAAAGCCTGTTGAACATGCAGTGGGTGTTCAATAAAAGAGGTGCCCAGTGACTCTGTAGCCTGTACATGTATGACAAAATACAGAGTCTTACAGACCCTTGGCATGGACAAGAGCATGTATTCGGCTATCATGGCTCCATTGGTCTTGGAAAAGCTACCCCATACATTGCGGTTGATAATCATGAGAGAAGAAGAACATCAGCTGTGGAACTTGAAAAACTTGCTTCAAGCCCTTGGAGATGAGATTGAGCTTAGAGAAGAATACAACGAGAGCACACATCATAGTAATGCAAGGGACTTCTGGAATCTGCGGAGTGACCTACCACTCACAACTATGTAAGTGGCATCGGGAAAAGAAACAAACTGTGCCTTCTGTTTAGAAAGTCGTCCACATGAGGACTGCCGCAAGATCCAGGACATCAAAGTAATGTAAGAGATTATTACTTAATTTTGGACTCTGTTTTAATTGTTTAAGGAAGGGACATTAGGGGAAAGATTGTAATAATCATAAGTAGTTTGTAACACCGCAAGGGAAAGCAATATTTGGTGCTTTGTATCATCTTCCAAGTGAACATAGAAACATTGAAAACCCACAATTTCCGCTAATATAGAACCAGTAGGAATTGGAAATACCATGCATGTTGGGAAAGATTCTAATAGCATGAGGTCTAATCACCCGATTCAGCTTCTACCAATTTTCAGACTGTGTGTGTGAGGAAGAAATACATTACAACACCCCTGCTCCACTGAAAATACCGCTTGACAGACAGCCAACAAAATAGACACTATGCTATAAGCATTTAATAGTAGCATAATATAAGAATTTGAATTGCATAAAAACGTTTTGTTGGTAATGTAATGGATTTTAGTAGTTGTATTACTTTTGGAAATAGTGCAAGTAGACGTACCATTGTTTGTAAGTTGTGTGAATCACAATTAAAGTGTCAAAAATAAATAAATAAATAAATAATATGATTTCATTAAGGATTATGGTAAAGGGCTACATTGTGACCTATGCAAGTGCAACATTTGGTATCATTCTCTTCTGACTCACAAGTATACACCAAACTAAATTTGGGTTGGAATTTTGTCTGCAGTTTGGCAAACTTGGCCCAAGTTTTGACGCATTTTCTGCCTCTAGTGTAGTACTTTTTGTTGGTTTCATTTCACAGGTAGAAAATTAATACTACCAAAGTTATGGACCCTGAAGAGGCAACAGAGAACTGCAGTCAGGGTTTGTACTCTCTCAAGTTTTTAAAATTCCATGACTTTATATGAACTTTTCCATGAACTTTCCAAATTTTCCATGACCTAAGCTAAGCAGTTATTCTCACTGTACTGTAGTATCAAAACAATCATTTATTTAATGTACTTTCCAGCATTATAATGCCTCATCCTGCATAAATATGTTAATTTATTTATTCCATTATTTATTTATTTAAAATGTGTGCTTGTGTCTAGTCCTACTGAATTTAAAGTCTGTTACTGACTCATCTGTTTTTGTTTTTGTTTTAAATTTTTTTTCCTTTTTGTTCTCAGAAACCATATTGCTTTTCCATGACTTTCCATGATCCTCACTTAAATTCCATGACTTTTGAGGCATACTCTGTGGTGGAATGATCACTCCTCACATCCATCGCCTCATTTGTTTAGGAAAATCACATCATCTGTTCATTTAATAGTAATTTCTCAACAAAATGGACCAGAATGCTAATTGCGGCTGTCCTTGCAAGCCTGCATGAGTCACATGTGGCACCGATTGCTCATGCAGATCAACAGTAAAACCATGTTGAAATCAGGTGAGATTACCATGATTTGTGCACTTTATTTTTAAATAGTGATAGAAGCTAAACTGAATGATAAGACAATTTCACTCAGTTGCTTCAGGTGATCACACTCCGATACTACAGCTATTAGATCAAACTAAATAAATCACCAGAAGAAACTATTACACACCCAGACCATTTTTATATCAGTAACATATCCTATATAAACTTCTTTATTCCCCTGTAGTTTACACTTTTATGTCTTTTCAGGAATTCCTCCAAACACTTGATTACGGGGGATGGTCTGGATGACGACAGTGAAACCAATGAAAGCAATGTTTCACCCACCCCTGGCACTTCAACAGACAAAAAAGTTGCTTGAAGTTAAGATGCAGCACCACCAGATTCATGTAACACAGGCTTGCCATGATTCAAGTGAGGGGCAAATCAAATCATGCCCCATGCCAGGAGATAGAGAACAAATGTTGCTCCCAGCAAAGGTGAGTGACAACTCACACCAGATTTTCTTAGCCGCGCTTAGATCCTGATGTTCTTCAGAACTGGCTTCAATTAGCCATCAAAAATAGGGGAATCAAAAATGACCACAACAACAAAAGTACTCTCACCTTTGGACAGGTAGGGTATCACCCATATGTGTTAGATTGCTATGGTTATCTAGGAAAGGAAAACAGAAAGGTGCATCCTTCCTGTGTGGTGACAGTGATACATCACCTGTATCCATCCCAAACTAGTGTTTACGAGGGTTTCAGGGCTGACTGAGCCACTGTAAAATTCAAGTTATTAATACTCCAAGTTATGTACCACATACATTTTGTCTTAAAACTAGATCATCCCATCCATTGAAATTTATTCTGCTCCAGACCTCCAGTGACAGTTTCTGGCCAAGAACTATCATTGACTCGAACTTTGATTACTTGTTGATAGACTCTTCAAAAAACTTAAATTCACTATCACTGACCACTTCTATTTGTTGCAATTTTATTCCATTTGATTTTAGCATTCCCTATTTTTGTATTTAAATTTTCTTAGGAATAGGAATGTAAAGCATTGGTCACAGAGCCAATAATTATACATATCAACTTAGTTATTTGTCTTCCCCTTTTGTCTCTCTTTTTTTTTGTGCTGTTGCTGTTTTTTTGTGTAATCCATTTATTGCGTAATCTTCTCCTTGTNTTTTTTTTTTTTGTGCAATCCATTTATTGCGTAATCTTCTCCTTGTTTTATCTGCCAATTAATATTCGTGCATGGCAGATGAGTCTATAGCCAATCCTAAATGTAAGTAAACTCTCAACCGATTTTTTTTTATAACTAGCTGCAATGTAAATAGGAGTAAAAAAGTAGGAGTTATAGCCCCAGTTAATTGTAGATGTTAATTTCGTTATTAGTTTCGTATGTTTGTTTGTCTCCTGTGCAACAGAACACAATAAAATAAATAAGTAAATAAATTAATAAGGGAAAAAAGTAAGCAATGTAAGAATTTAATTACAAGTAGAATACTGTACATTTATTAGTGAAAGTAAAATATAGAGTAGGCAATAAATATAAGGTATGAAATTGTAAGCGACTAGTATTGCAAGGAATGTAAATAGTACACTTCAAATCGAGTATTGCAATGTTTGTGGTGTAAATAATGTAATTTGTTAAAGTAATTATGTAAGTGTGTGTTGAATGAATAATAATAATAAAAATTGTACTCATGTCATTGGGTGAATTGCAAGAATCCAAATGTAAATGAAAATGTTATGCAGCTTTCTTCCCATCCTCAAAGTAAGAATACCCCCACTTGATAAACAAGATATTTTCTCCCCAAATATCAAAGAATTAAATGAAGACTCTGAACCAGTTGCTTTGTTCAGCAATATAATTTAATTTAGTTTTCCACATTTTATTTAATGGTCAAATTTTGAAAACCATTTAGTCCATTCAATAAACTGAGTCGTTGTACTTGGTGGCCGGTGTGCCAACGACCCATCATGGTCATCTTAAACCAACTGAATTGAGTCATTGTACTCTAACCCTTAGTGGTCACAAACCAAGTACAAGGAGGCGATGTAATCAGTGGCCACCATTTGCACAAATGAAAAGTGAAATTGGCTTTGCAATAAAAACAACACAGTTAGCATAAACAGCTCACTATTTAACTCTCTTTGTAGTACAAAAGATCATGATCAAGCTTTGACAAATGGTTGTCTAAGAAATGTGCATGCTAAAAAGATATCAAGATCACACAATATTACTTACAATAAGGGATATTATGTTCAGACTCTTAGCACTGAAAAATTAAACCCATATAAGAACAGAAAATTGCAGGAGAAAGCGAGACAGGGAACCATCTCAAATTCCTGTCAGGAAAATTCTAAAAGCGTTGAAAAAATTTGTTGAGAAAGAGGATACAATCTTTTGTAAGAGAGTCTCTTCCAGACTG